AATTCCAAGTTTCAAAATGGAGAGAGAACAGGGAAGACAGGCGGACCCGACTGATGAAGTCTCTAAAGCCATGAGGAATGCAAAAGATAGCAACGGGGAGAGACTATTTAGCTATGGGAATTTTCTCACAAACCAGCAAATTAGCAGTTACTTTTCTCGCCTTGCTTCTAAGCGAAGTGTCGAGGTAGATGAGCCTGATAGTGAGAACGAGACTCCGGGAATAGACCTTCAGAGTGTACTTAGTGACAAGGTTTTGTCTGAAGTCAGCATTCAGCATTCCCATTTAATCATATATGACTCCTACAACATCTGTGAGTTAGTGTTGAACTCTTAGCTTGGCTCCTTTTCTGTACCTATGTTACGGGGTATCTGTGAACCCTTTGGTCTTGACATATCGGAAATTAGAGTTCGAAGGGAAAAGCCATTTGTGGCCTTGCTCTCAAACCTGTACATGTAGCTGTGGCAAGCACTCCTAACTGTATTCGGTACACGGTATTACTACCTGGCAGTTCGATTTCATCGTATCTGGCCACCAAAATGACTCTCGTCATTTTTGGGTGAAACACCGAATTATTTGACAAATGAACCTTATTTAGAGATGAATACTATTATAGGGACGACTGATAGCCGGAGTTTGAACAATTTCGAGGTTTCGCATTTTTTGCCCCTAATTTACGATTTAGTTTGACCCTTGGAGACATTCGCTCTTAGTTTGTTGTAAAAGTTAGAAGTATCTGTTTTGTAACATATACGTTGGTGTCTAGCATCTAAGTTTGTTGTTGCGAAAAAAATTTTATATGAATCGTTTGTAGAAAGCTTATAAGCCAATTAAAAAACACAGTGGCGAAAACAAACCCATGTTGAAAGCCAATTTACCGTAGGAAAAAATAAACCAGTCAACCTCGGGCTTGAAAATGCTGCCCGAGTCCTGCGACCTCGGCAAGTATTTTTAAGCCCGAGGTTGACCAGCTTACAGTTTTTCAATAAATGGAATTCCCAGCCGGCAAACCACAGGAGCACGTTAACATATACATGTTAAAGATAAAGATAAAACAAGAATAACGATAAAAACGACAACCACAAAAATTAATACATGTATATAGCACGACTCAACTACCACAGCAATGACCACTATATTTTCAATGAGCTTTTTGGATGGGCGGAAATAATAGATCTGTCTGTCACGGTCGGTCGAAAAATCTCTTGTTTGATTTCGTGAATATGTGCAAGTTTAAGCACTCTCTCATTGACTACAGCCTTATTTTCCCTGAAAAAAAAGTCATATCAGTTAAAAGCCCATTTGTAAAGGGGTTTGACCTTTAAGTTTCGTTTAATTTGTGATAAAGGTAGTAGGGTAAATCGTTTATTCAAGCTAGGTAGTGATGTCCATAAAGAAACATGGTGGGATCTTTCAAATGTCGCACAATGTCAGATTTCTTTTCAGATGTCATAGAAATTACAGTGCCAAACCTGGAAGAGTTGTGAAATAAGCTGATTGCATGTGCATATCTTCGGGCTCTTTATTTAAGGCGTAAGGTTTTCTTGAAAATTGCTAATTTCCAAGCCTAATTTGCTCACATCTGGCCCTGAAATCTAGTATCGCCATTTTCCGCCAAAACAAAAATCTATTCGAGAAATGAACCACATAGCGATGAATAGTTCAATATGGACTAGAATCGCATAATTGAGTAAAATCTCGCATTCTGATTGGTTAACGAAGCTAGATATTTAGCGTGCAATTGCGAGTTGAAAACGAGGCTAAGTGAAACTGTTTCGCATCTACGTCACTAAGCACAAGAACTATCGTCAAATTGTTACAAAGTTTGGTTTCTAAGTCAATTTAAAATGTTTCCAAAACCATTGTCGCCTTCTGAAGAGCAGAACAAACAAAGCGTTTTCAAAGTGAGCTCGAGGTTCTTCCTTGTTTTGAACTGAACTTCAACTTCTTGGAGAGGCATGAAAACCTCTTTCGCTCACGACAACTCGAAAGCGAGAAAATCGTGTGAACACGGCCGAGAAAAAACAATCTCCGCGCTAACAGGTCACGCCAACCCGGGTTCAATATCATCTGCAGCCATAATCTTTTAGAAAAGCAACAAATGATGTAAAGCAAGTTGGCTGGGTTTTCAGTCGTACTACTACGACTGTCACAGCTGCCAACGCCTGCGACGGTCCACGCACTAATGCTTTGCGAGAAATATATGTCAACAGCCTTACACTGCCATCAGTAGTTGGCAATAACACAACATCAATGAATAACGGCATTGATGATCTAGCAGCAAGAGTTCTTGGTGGATGATGTAGATGTAGATGTAGATTTAATTATACTCGAGATTTATGGAGCTTGTCAGGCACCTAGCTTAGATAGCTAATGAATCGAGTAGAAAATAAATGAAATATAATACTAAAAAAAAGTTTACAGTGAGAATTCAGAGATAATAAGTAAATATAAGGTTAACTAATTAATTAATTTATTAATTAATCAACCAATCAATAACATTATAAAATACACTAATATAACTATATACATGCTACTGAAAAGATAGGCTACTAAAACTACATCCAGATTAAAAATTACGTTAAGTCTAAGAGCTACAAAGGGTACAATTACATACGTCAAAAGTAATTTTCCAGATGCGTGTTACAAACTCTTTTAGTGTTCGTGAAGTTCTTAAGTCATTATTTAAAGAGTTCCAGATTTTTGGACCAAAGTACCTGAAAGTATTTAGCCCATGCTTAGTAGTGTTGACTCTGGGTTGTACAAGAGTCAGTTTGCCATGTAGGTTGTGTGAGTTGTTTCTAAGCGTCAGCAGAGTACGAAGTGGATTTGATGTTGTCCCGTGAATAACTTTATAAATAAGAATGCACATATCCTGGACTCTTCTGTTGTGCAATGTGGGCATATTTACTGTTTCAAGTAGAGTACTATAGGTACTAGTGCTGTTGTTAAGGACTGATCTTAAAGCACGCTCGTTGAGTTTTTCAAGTTTAGCCAATGTTGTTTTTCCACAGTGCATCCACACTGTGGAACAATAGGTAAAGTGAGGAAGAATGTAAGCCTTATATAGTGTAAGCTTGGTTTGAAAGCTAAGAAGTTTTCTAAACCGGCATATGATTGCAATTTGCTTGCTAATCTTCTTGCATAGTGAAGCTACGTGATTGTTGAAATTCAGCCGGTCATCTCTAAGCACGCCCAGGAGTTTGCAGGTGGTAGAGGGTTGTATAGATTTTCCATCAATCATGAAGCTGATTTTGTCTTTCTTTGCTTGGTTACGTTGGAGGTTTGATTTTGT